TCTAATCCAGTCAGCCCACTTTCAAATAGACTTGATCTGCTCCACAACCAGTCTACAGATTTGGTTTAGGCAAATAGACTAATCAAGCTAACTGCTTGTTACACATTTTCTCATTTCAATTATTTTCCTCTTTATTTTCCTCCTTCCTTGAAAACTAACTTTTCTTAAAGGCCACTAGAAAAGTTCTCCCATATTCCCTATCTTATTACTAACAGTTAACAGTACTTGGCATATTACAGATATTCAAAAAAAATAACTTCTTGACTAAATTCATAATTTTGGTGACTTTCTTCTCCAATTTCCCCTTTCAGATATGAATGGGCAGTTCTCAGACAAGAAAATAACACAATGAAGTAATAAAATCCAAAATATACCTACATGCGAGGAATATATCCACAAAATCTAATTCCTACCAATGAACTGAACAAGTGGGATTCCCTACTTTGACAAAAGAAATTCTCATTCTAGAGTGAAGCATCTTCAGGAAGAACACACAGTAGCTACTCACATGGGGGTGTCCATAGGTCATCAGAAGAAGTCAAACAGAGGTCTACACATCCTAACTCCAAAGGCCATGCTCCCCTCACAATGCCGTGCTGTCTTCTTCCTGAAAGTAGCTCTAGTACAGTAGTTGGCAACCTCAACCATCACATGCTGCCTACCTTCTTCTAATTTCAGGAATCCTTCTCAAAGTAAATTCTTTCCTTCAGTCTTCTGCACTCTTCTGTGTTTTATTGGCCAACAGAGATGTTATTCCAGACCAGTGCCATCTTCTACCCCTCACCAATCACTTTTTTCCTTTTAAAACACTTATGGCTATCAAAAATTATCTTCATCTTCTTCATTTATTTTTTCACGTTTGTGTGCCCCCCCCATTAGAATATAAGCTCATAAAGAAGCAAGTCTCCATAGTCATCAGTCACAGAACTGATCTGTTATTCACAGTTGTGTCCCTAGCACCTATAAAAAGTCCTAGCACAAAGAACCTCAGTAAATATTTGAACAAATAAATGAATAACAAATAGGCAATAAACACCTGAGCTGGAAACCAAGAGGCAAGGTATAGGGGAGGATATGTGACAGCACTGTCACTGCTCTTACTAAAAACAGCACAAGAGAGGGTACCTAAGGAATTTAGATTCTTATCAGCAATAGTGAAGAGACCCAATATCTAAAAAAAAAAAAAAATTGAAAAGAGCCTGCTACAACTACTGCAAGTAGGGACATGTGGTTAATTAAAAGTATATGCTTCTAACAGAGCCTACTGAGAAGCATCCCTTAATTGGTGCTAAAATTGCTGTTAATCTTCTTTGTAATAGAGGAAAAAGTTCTTACTTCACATACATTTAACAAAAGACTGTCCAGAGTATATAAAGAACCCTTTATTTCAGTAAGAAAGTCCAATTTAAAAATGAGCCAAAGAGCCGGACATAAAAGTTCACAAGATACATAAACGGACAATTAATACATAAAAAAAATATGCCTGTCAGTCATCACAGAAATGCCAATTAAAGCCACAATACAATAGCAGTGCACACTCTCTAGAATGGTTAAAAATAAAAAGACTTACAATGCCAGATTTTGGCAGGATGCAGTGCAACTGGAACATATATTGCTAACAGAAATGTAAAATGAGACAACTATTTCAGAAAACAGTTTTGCAGTTTCTTATATATCCCAGCAATCCCACTCCATGGTATTATCCGAAAGAAATGAAAATATACGTTCATACAAAGAGTTGTATATAAAGGTTTATGTCAGCTTTACTCATGATATCCAGAAACAGAAACAATCCAAATGTCCATCAACAGGCAGAGGATAAACAATCTGTGGTATATCCATATAATGGAACACTTCTCAGCAATAAAAAGAAATAAACTAGTGCTACATTCAACATAGCTGAATCTCTAAAACATACTGAGCAAGGAAGCCAGATAAACTAAAGATAGAATGTATCATTAATGATATGAAATTCTAGTGAAGGCAAAATTAATCTAAAGTGACAAAAATTAGATCAGTGGTTGCCTCCTGGAGCAGGCTGGGGAAAGGGAGAGTAGGCGGTGTGGAGGGAGGGTCTGTAATGGATCACAAACTCTTACAGATAATGACTGTTCTAATATCTTGGTGTCATGGTAGTTGCATAGGTCAAAACTCACAGAACGATACACTTAAAATGAGTATATTTAATTGTCCATAAATTATACCTCAATAAACTTGATTATTTTTTAAAAATTCAAATTTCATCTCTTCACTGTTCTCTTTTAATTATCCCATTTTCCTCAGAATAAAGAAGGGGGAGGACTTTGTAACAACCCTAGTATATATGCACATACAAACACACTCAAGCACACATACTTAGAACCTCCTCCAATACACACCTAATACAAAAAGTTTTACAAAACAATACTTACTCACACCACCTGGGGATGGACTTACATTTTCTATTCAACTTCATCCCAATCCATTTTATTTTTGCAAAATGCTGATCACAACTCACTCAACTTAGTAAGCATTTAAGTATACACCAGGCACTATATACTACTACTAAGCACTTACTGTACCATCTCATTTAACACTCATAATAATACTATGGGATAATACTAATAGCCCTCTTTTCAGCAGATTTGGGAGAGGGGCTAACAAAAAAACTAAGAAATCTTAAATAACTTGACCAAGGAGACACAGGTCTGCCAAACTCCAGAGTCTAAACACCTAAACTTGGATCATCACACACTGTATTGAATACATGTATAGAAATACAACTCTGTACACCACCATGAGTATGTACAATGATTCAATAAAAAAATTTATTTAAAAACCATATACCACACTGCCTGCATCTTTTAAAATAAAAAAGATGCTAAAGAAAAATAAACCAGATTTGACAACTAATACTAGCTCATGTCAAAAACTACAGAACTGATAAACCTAAAGCACTACACTAAATATAAAATCATACGCTGTTGATCTAATAAAGAAGAACACAGTTAATTGTACATGACTTTGCCATTTAAATCTCAATTCCTCTGCAACTCAAAATCTCAGCCTCCTCTGTCCATTCTGCTTCCTAACTTTTAATAAGCAAATTAAAATATCATTTCTCCCTCACACTGGAAAAAACAGAAAATAGATAAATGGGAAAATTTCTTTCATCTGGTATCATCTCTCTATATAACACTTTCTGTTCCAGTTTCACTGCTGTATTCTAACCAATTCAGGATCTTCTCTCAAACCAGAGGCCATAATATCAAGTAAAGCATCCATTACACAGTCAAGGCATTACCTGCTGTGGCAGACATTCATTACTAATGCTCATTAGTGTTTCCAGTTCTACTGTCCTTTTGGACACAGAGGAAGATCATATTTTCATGCCCCTTTGATGGGCAGGACCACATCATTTCTTTGGCCAATGAAATGCAAGCAAAAGTAATATGTATCACTTCCTTAGGGAAGCACTTAAAACCAGATGTATGACTCCATGCTCTCTGGTCCTACCTCAACATCACATAAGTACAGTTGTTATGAACTTGCCACAAGATCAAAGCAGCCTAGAAGGTTGTGCCACCGCCACATGAAAAGCAGCCCAGAGAGTTGGCTAGCTGGACCATAACAACCTTTGCATGAAAGGATACACTCTTTCGTTGTGTTATGCCACCACCGAGATTTTGATGTTTGGTACCACAATGTAATAAGCTAGTCTATTCTGAAAGTGAGCCATCTAATTTCCTTAACTTGTAAAATAAAACCTTCTTTTTCAGCAGAATTTCTAGAGATGGAGGCAGAGGAAGAACATGAATGAAACTCTGATTCCATTTTACAAAGTCACCTTGAAACAACTGTGCATTTCAAGCCGTTTCATTTTGTTATCTTTATATTTTTACTTTTTTTTCCCCACATATTCCCATCCCATTTTTAGTCTTTGAAATTCCCTGATGTCAAATGGCTTTTTCTGAAGTTTCTTGAGTTTAGTTTTGAAGAAAAAATTCTGCTTCCATACAACTGCAATTTGAGGAAGCAGTTTAATTTTTCCTTTCCCACAACTAAAATAAACACAAATTTATTCAGGGAACAAATACTAACTAAGCGTCCATGCTGTGCAAATATTCTGCTAACTACTACCATGCAAGTTGGAAAAGCAAATGAGACACACTCTTGCCTTCCCAGAAGATCTTGTTATCATACTATAATGAGGACAGAGGATAAGGCTGGATGTAAGAAATCTAATACATAGAAAACAAGACAATTAAAAGTGACATACAAATATAAAGATATTCTTTAGTTTTTTTCTTTTTTTCCTTCTCTACACCACTGAGAATTTTATTAGTTTATAACAGATATAAGAGTCTTGAAAGATTGTTTTCTGGCAGAGATGACTAGAATATTTACTGAAAAAGGAATGTTTGGTAGTTGAAAGTAATTGCTGCAATACTGAAACTCAAAAAGTGTGATCTAATACATTCTCAAAGGGGCTGGAAATGTAACAATATACGATGAGAAGATGTGTGAGGTAACTATCCCAGACTTCAGTTCAGATTCTGTCTTATTAGCTATCTGACAATGGTTAAATCATTTAGCCTCTCAGTATAAATGTCACCATATTTAAAAGGGGGTAAAACGGGGTATAACCTGCCCTACTTACTTCACAAAAGTACTATAGGCTCAAATGAGAATGTATACTGCAAAGCTACTTTATAAACGACAGAGTGCCACCCAAATGCAAACTATTATTTATTTTAAAAAGATAAGTAAATAGGTACACACATACAAATGTATACAAGCACACACGTATGTACACATGTACACATACATACAGTTATTACCCAGTAGGACACAAAGTAAAAATGATATCCATTTTAGAAGTACTTGGACTTCTCTTTTCTTAAATTCTACACAGTAAAGATTTACTTAGAACATTTTAATTTTAAAAATATATGTATTCTTAACATTTAAAGATAAAATTCTATGAAGCAATAGGTACAATTGTAACTGAAAATACTTACCTTAACAAAATTATCAGGAAACATTCCTCTTCTCCCATTTAGTTCTCCTTCTAGCCATCCTTCCTCCTGTAGTTTTTTCACATTCCTGATGATTTCCCCAACTCGAATGGTTAATTCATCATCATGTATAGCATCATAGTCATACTCCACAATATAGTCAACTAAAATAAGGGAAAAAATAAATAAATGTCTGAAAACTAATTTGTGAAATACTATAAACCATACTAATAAACTTAAGAAATCTGTTTCACAACAATAATACTACAAAGACATCATCAAGGCTTGTCTCAATTATTTTAAATATTTGGCTACATCAGGAAATTTCTTGATTACCTTAGTACAGAGCACAGGACAGCTTTTAAGTGTGAGCCTCGAAGGAAATACAATACATAATTCATGCCATCAGATATTCTAAGTCAGATATATACCCCTTGTGGCAGACAGACCTGAGGTGGACCCCAGGATCCCCACCTCCTTGGTATTCACATCCTTGTATAATTCCCTCTCCTTCAGTGCGGATATAACCTGTGAGTGACTTCTAACCAATAGAATACAGCAAAGATAACGGACTGTATGTGATTACATAGCACTGTAATGCCCATCTTGCTAGGAAACTCACTTCTCCTGCAAGCTTTGAAAATGCAAACTGCTATGTTGTAAGCTGGCCTATAGAAAGGGACACAAGCAAGCAACTGAGAGGTCTCTAGATGACAGCCAGCAAGAAACTAAGGTCCTCAGTCCAACAACCCAAAAGGAACTGAATAATGCCAACAACCACATGAGCCTGAAAGCAGATCCTTCCCAAGCTGAGCCCCAGATGAGAACCCAAGCCTGGCCAAAACTTTCATTGCATCCCTACAGAGGACCCAACCAGCCATGCCCAGACTCTTAAACCACAGAACTGATGAGATAATAAATGTGTATTGTTTTAAGCTGCTAAATTTGTGTCATTATCATTATGGAACAATAGCTAACAAACATACCCTGAAATGATGATTAGTATCTATTTTATCTCCTTAAATATAGGATTTTAGATTATACAACATCATATGTGCATACCATTAATAATTTGTGGGGCTCATAAATGAAAAGCAATAAAAGACTTCCTATTCAAGACAGCAGACTAGCCATATGCCCATCCATCTTCCCCCTACAAGAACAATAGGAAAACAGAAAATACACACACACAAAACTGCAACCAAAAAGCAAAAAAAGGGAGTACAGACATTGTCATCACACCAACAGCCCTTCACATACTGCTCTCCCCACTCCTTTCTTTCTCACAGAACCTTGATTTTATTCAGATATTTTGGAACCCTGTACTTTTCAAGTGAGGCTTCTCCCAGCCCCACAGGGTTAAATCTTGACTAATCTCGACCAGTACCACCCAAGTATCAAGCACAATCAAGTCATCTGGGGAATCTTGTTTAAATGCAGATGCCGATGAGTAGGTACCAAGATATACAATGCTGCTGGTCAAAGAGTCAAAGGTCTAGAAACAGTCCATTTATGGTAATTCTAATCACATACAATTACACACATACAATGACTGGTTTTCAAACAGGCACAGAGCAGATGGATTCTGACCTTCCTTCTGAAAAGGTTTTATTTGACCTTAAAAAAAACACAGAGGGAGAATGTCCTCCTGCAGACTTCAGACATTCTTTAATGAGGATGGGATGCTCAAAAATATTATGACTGTTTGAGACAAGAAAAACAGAAGACATGATTAAGATGAAAGAGAAGAAAGATGAAAATGAACTGAATCTTTGCAGGAATCATCAAACTGCTAAATTAACCAACCCCAGAACTATAATACTTTTAGATTTTTCATTACATGAAGTGGTTTTTTCTTACCTTTTACGTAAATAGAGAGGATTGTTTTTTGCAGCTGAAAACATCCCAACACGGTAAGGGAGCCAGTGAGAAATTCTAACGAATTCTACAAGGATAGCTGATAAAGCCAGGAAAAGGAAGCCTAGAGAATTAAGGGAGCTATAAATGAGATAACCAAACTGCTCCAGAATTCCAGAAAGGCCAGAAATTCAAAAAAGGTGGGCTGACATGAAATGCAGAGATGAACATAGGTAAATTATTCAGTCTCTACACAGAAGGCTGACACCAGTTATCAACCCAACAACTTAATAAGACAAGATGCTAAGTAGCCAGGCATTTTTTTCCCAAGGCAAAAAACTAAAGGGTTTAATGTATCCCCCCCCCAAAAAAAATAAAAAATACAAGTTTGGGGAAACGATCACATAGTACAGCTACCATGGATGAATGCTGGTTTCAATGACTATTGAGAAATTTAGAGGTCCCCCCCAGAAATGGGCAGCTCCTGACCTGCCAATTCCAAAATTAAACTGTTAAGTCCTATCCACATAAATGGAGTTCCCAATCAGCTTTTTACTTATTTATTCTCAAATATGAGCAGACAATAGTTTATCAATGAAAGACCATGATAAACTGAAAAACTGCTCGTAAGATGAGCAGTCAGAACCCAAGCAGAAGAAGAGGGTGTCTGAGCAAAGATGGGAAGTGACAACAGTGATGAGAAATTGGTTACAACCAGGGGAACTGATCAAGTAAGTCAATATATTAAGGATAATGAGAGCCAAGTTTCTCTGTCAGAGAACAGAGTTACTCGTAAAAAGAAAAGGCTAGATTCAATCCTGTGATATTGAATTACAATGAGAAGTTTCGCATGAATTTATTGTTTTCAATACATATACAAACAGATAAAGATAGAAAATTACATGTAGATGTAAACATATGTAAACAAACATATGTATATATTTATCTATATATAGATACACACACATATATTCACTCACATAGCACACAAACACACACACCCTCCCTCCCTGGAACCAGCAACACCCCAATGGCAATGAGTAAACTTAATGCTGAGATCTTATAAATACCACTTTCTACTAAAAAGAACCAGGAATCTTGGGAAAATGGCCAGTTCCAGGGGTAGGCAGGAAAAGTACGAGATAAGCCTGGAACATTGTGTTGCATCAGAAAGCAAGGAAGTTCTCAAAGAAACGAAATGATATCAGTAACACAGAAGTTAATCAAAAGAGCTCCTACTGGCCAAATCAGGACAATTTCAGTATCAAAATAATGAAATTAACAGAATTACCCCACTGAATAAAATAAGAAAACATGAGTCCATACAGATTATAAATCAATGGAATTCTTAAATTATATGGTTGCATTGTGATTGTGTTATGAAAAGGTCCTGGTTTATAGAAAATACACACTAAAATACTCAGGTGAAAGACATCCATCAGGAAAAACATTCTTTGTACTCTATGTCTAACATTCGTAAAATTTAGTGATTATCTCAAAATAAAAAAAAAATTAAAAACATGCAAATTATATCCTCAAAAAATGTAGTTAAAGTTCATAAAAGAACAAAATGCTAAATGAAAAAATAAAAAATAAAAAGAGTGTGAAAATGTACATCTTCCAAAATGTCTTGTTAATTTTTTTTGGAAAGGTGAAGACAAATCCAAGAAAATTTTCCAAAAAAGGCAAAACAAAGAGACAAAGAAAACATGCAAGCAAAGACACAGGCAATCAATCCAACATCCAATTAACAGGAGTTCAAAAAGGAGAAAAGAAAATGGAGAATTAACTGTGAAATAATACAAGAAAATCATTCAAGGCTAAATGATGGAAGGAGGTCTGAGAGAGTTCAGTACAATGAACAAATAAAAAAGTACTCTCATCTAGGTGAAATTTCACAAGAATAAACAGATCCTAGAAAGCTGAGAGGAAATAAAAGTTCATCTACAAAAGAATGAGAATAGTATTAGAAGACTTCTTATTGGCAATACCAGATTCTAGGAGGAGAAAAAAATTCCATACTCTGCCAAATCAGCAAGCAAGCATAGAGTATAATATTTTCACACACGCAACAACAAAGAAAACTGACTCCCACATATGAAATTATATGATGTTACCCAACAAAAATAAAAATATAAACCACAATAGAAGAAGACACTTTTATCCAAGAAATAGCAGAGCCAATTCTGGAGAGTAAGAAAATAGGTGCTAAAATTGTAATGGTGCAACAAATCTAAAGGAACAAACAGTCTATACTAAACAGGAGACCAAAAGCTCTAGGAAGTATCTGACAGCAAAGAGGAGTGGGGTAAAGACTGTGAAATTTTATACTAGTCTTACAAATCTGGAACTCAAAGAGACAGTGAAGCCATATAAGGAGAGAAAAACTGATGAAGATTAAAACAAACTCCTGGGAATGCAAAGAGATATACAATGTTGATAACATACTCATCACATATACTAGTTGGCTAAACAGTAAAAAAAAAAAAAAATCTACATGCTACATGGTCATAATAATGTAGAAACTAATTACATCAATTTTGACGATCAAATTATTTTACAGCAGAAAAAAGGACTAAATTATGATTGTAGAACAAAATGTAAATGTTAACAGCCTAGTTATTACAAAGGGTAATAATCCTTAGAAAGGACTGGGAGAGGGGAGTTAGTAAAAGGAAGAGTAGAGGTCTAGCTTCATCATACAAAGGGCTAAGTCCACAAATACTATATAAGTTACTGGAAAAAGAAATAAAGGTGTTAGTACAGGTTGAGCATCCCTAATCCGAAACCTGAAATCCAAAACGTTCCAAAATCCAAAACTTTTTGAGCACCGACATGATGCCATAAGTAGAAAATTCTATACATTTTGGATTTCAGATTTTCGGATTAGGAATGTTCAACCTGTACAGGTATTCTGGTGATGCCACTCTACTGCTTCGTTATCCTGATACATTATTTTTTCCACTGTATTGATGGTATGTTGTATTTTTTACTGTTAAGTACTTATGAGTGAACAAGTGTAAGAAAATGATAGCAGCAGCATATAAATTCAGAATCAGGAATGGTCGTGATGAGAAGCAACCACAGACAGTCCACATGGGTAGCTGAGATACTGACTCCTTTCTTTGTGATGGTTCAATGTACTCAAACTGTTTCATGTACAAAACTATTAAAAATACTGTATAAAATTACCTTCAAAGGATGTGTATAAGGCGTATACAAAACATAAGTGAATTTTGTGTTTAGACTTGGGTCCCACCTCCAAAATAACTCCTTATGTATACGCAAATATTCCAAAATCTAAAAA